CCCCCCCACCTCTCTCTCTGACGTCTCTCTCTCTCTCTTTCTTTTCTTTCTTTCTTTCTTTCTTCTTTCTTTCTTTCTTTCTTTCTTCTTTCTTTCTTTCTTTTCTTTCTTTCTTTCTTTCTTCTTTTCTTTCTTTCTCTCTTCTCTCTCTCTCTCTCTCTCTCTCTCTCTCTCTCTCTCTTTCTCTCTCTCTTTCTCTCTTTCTCTTCTCTCTTTCTCCCTCCCTCCCCGCCCCCCTTTCAGTGCCTCCGATCTCCAGAGAGCGTAGATAACGTTCCCTTTTTTGCCGATCATATCTAAGCATATATTCCAAGAAACCGATGTAAAAGCTGATGATAAGCGATATCTCCTTATCAGGCAGATATTTCCGGTGATTAGAACTATTGAAATTTGATCTTTTTAATTTCTTTTTGCCTTTTTATTCTCGTTTATAGATCACGATAAAGGTAGACAAAGGGGAATTTGAGACAAAGAGGTGTTTATATATCACTTTTACAATTGATATTTACTAAAAAAAACACACACATACATACGCACACATACACACACACACGCACACACACAGCCCAATCTTCTTCATTCACAGAAATAGCGGCAGATAGTGCTATCCGCCAACTTATTACAAATACGTTTCGTTCCCTGAATATCCGTGAGAAGGAAGGCCGGATAAAGGAGGAGATGAAGCAAGTGAGGCAATAATAACGATGATATTCACGGTCGAAATAATTATGAGAGTGTTGATAACTTAATAACAATAATGATGAAAGTAATAATGATGGTGGTAATAATAATGATGATAATTATTATATTGATAGTAATGATAATGTCAATAATAATGATTATGATAATAATAACAATGATATTGATAATAATATGAATAAAGAATGATAATAATAACAATGATGATAAGAATAACTCTTTGATAACCTAATACTAATTGTAATAACCTAAAAATTATGAAAGAAAACAATAACATTTAGTGACATCAACAATGAAACTACCAACGTCAACAAGAGCTAAACCTTAACACAAAAACACAGCAGTATCAGTCATCATGATAATATCCGGAAAAAAATCATACGTTTCTATAAACCTTGAGGGGGAAGGGGAGGGGAGGAGGAGGAGGAGGAGGGGGGGGGGGGGACTGCTCTCTGATAACCAGCTGGGTATAAATGGTGTGACATTAACCAGTCTCTTTTTCTTCTATCGGGATCCACTCGCAGATACAGATCTCTCTCTCTCTCTCTCTCTCTCTCTACCTGCCTTCCTCGCTGTCTCTTCTTCTCTTATTCGCACTTTGTGTTTCTGTAATTCGCACGAGGTATTTGTTTGCTTCATTGGAGTTGTTTCGGAATCTCGGATCTCGCTGCTTCACTGCTTCGGATAACTCGTCGGTCTAAGGTAAATTTTTGTGGTGGATTTACGTGTAGGCCTATGTGCATTTCCCGAATTTGGTGGTATTAAATTAATGTGAACTGTCTGTGTGTTACTTTTTTAAATGAAGATGAGCATAGTGTTGTTGAAAAAGCTCATGAATTAAATACAAATCCGTTACGATTTAGAATAAATTTGAATTTTAAAAAACGTAACGGTAAACATCAGTGTTACGGATATTATTTTTACCAACAACAGCACCAAAAGTATATATAATAACAATACCTACTAACGGTCATACGCATTACAAAACAAAACACCTTCCTCGCTGCTGAAGGAAAAGAACACAGGAGACGTCCAGAAATTATTCCAAAAGTGTCGTATCATCTTTTTTAATAAACCTCCGAGGACGACCAAAAGCACTCGAATCCAAAACTTGCCGCCTCACTTTCTTTCATCCACCGCCGCGCCTAGATTTCTAACTGTTGGTGAACGAGGAGGCTTGTCATACGTTATAAAGTGGTAGTTGAAATAACACATATAACCAGGAGTGACTAAAGGGAAAAGCGTCTAGTGATCTCGATGATTTAATACGTCAACTCTCTCCCCGTCAGGTCGCCATGCCGCCATCTTTCACCAATGTCCCGATGGATCTGTCCATGAAATCGCGCCGAAAGCTCCGTCTGGAGGAGTTCCTGCGCCAGAACCTGGACGAGGCTCCTGCAGGGCGCGTGATCGAGTGGGTGGACCGCGCCAAGGGCATCTTCAGGATTCTGTGGACGCACCAGAGCTCGGGGGCATTCACGCATGACGACGCTGCCCTCTTTCGCTACTGGGCTCTTGCTCGGGGTGAGTCCTCCTCGTGTACTTACTCTTAGGGTTGGAATTACTTTCCCTCTGATAGATACTTTCTCCTTGGTTGCCTTTATTTACCCTGTGATTGAACTTATTTACCCTTGGTTGCCTTTATTTACCCTGTGGTTGTACTTATTTACCCTTGGTTACATTTATTTACCCTGTGATTGAACTTATTTACCCTTGGTTGCATTTATTTACCCTGTGGTTGTACTTATTTACCCTTGGTTGCATTTATTTACCCTGTGATTGAACTTATTTACCCTTGGTTGCCTTTATTTACCCTGTGATTGAACTTATTTACCCTTGGTTGCATTTATTTACCCTGGGTTGTTGCATTTACCCCATTATTTACCCTGTGGTTGCACTTACTTCCCCGTGGTTGCACTTACTTACACTCTGGTTTTTGGAGTGATAAATGAGACTAATCCTCTGCTTATATCGAATCAATAACCCACCAGTTAGGTCACATATCTCAAACACTTCGCCTTGCATCCCCTTAAAACCTTTACTGAACCCCAAGACATTCATAAACGCCTTCACATAAGCCTCTCCCTTCCTCCCCGCCTTCAGGAAAACCATCCAACCTGTCTTCAGTGGAGCTAAAGCAGAGTCTGCGAATGGCCCTGAATAAGTCGCCTTCAGTAGAGCGCATAGAGATGACACATGACGAATATCGATACTTCAGGTTCACAGGTGCGTTGCGTTCCCTCTTTTTTTTAAGGATTGTTTCCTTGTTATTTAATTGGTTGTTGGGTCTTCAGAGAGCTTTTGTGTGTGTGTGTGTGTGTGTGTGTGTGTGTGTGTGTGTGTGTGTGTGTGTGTGTGTGTGTGTGTGTGTGTGTGTGCCGTATGTGTGAGCATACATATCTCCATAGATATTTTTCTCCTGAACCTAGAACATGATACTTCTATGTTTTCATCATATCAGTGAGTGAAAATCTCCCTTTATATAAATACCACTGATAATAAAAGCTGCCAATATCACATGACAATCAATTCATAAATAAAGTGCTATAATCCTTGAAGCGGATATAAAAGAAGGAAAAAAGAACATCGGAATATTCTTACGAAACCTGTCAACAAAGTGCCAAGCATGATTATAGGATTATGTATATCTGTAGATAATAAAAATGATATCTCAGACTCCGCTATGTTAAGATAGCTCGCTTTTATTAAGTCACATGTCGCAACAAAACTAAAGTCACTGAGATTTGGCTTATCGACATGATTGCTAGTTCGTGATTGGATCAGAAATGGAATGTTAGGAAGAAAGAATGTTGAAGTATTGATTGATATTGCTCTAATAATTGCAGGTGTGAGAGAGACATAATATTCGTATCTTGGTTCAGTGACTTTCGGGTGATGAGAAAATCGTGTATGTGTCTAATTACCGTTAGTGTCTGTATCTCTTAACTATGGGTGTGTATGTCATTGTTTTTGCGTGTCTGTGTTTCTATGTGCATGTAGGTGTGTATGTAATTGTGTGTGTCTGTGTTTCTTTGTGCATGTAGGTGTGTATGTAATTGTGTGTGTCTGTGTTTGTTTGTGCATGTGGGTGCGTATGCCATTGTTTTTGCGTGCCTGTGTTTGTGCATGTGGGTGCGTATGTAACTGTTTGTGTGTCTGTATGTGTGTGCATGTAGCTGTGTATGTGTGATTGTGCATATGTGTTTGTTTGTATGTGTGCGTAGGCCAGTCAGTCGTAGGCATCGTTGGCCGTCAACCCGAGACTAACGATGACCTCCTTCCCCAGCGTGGTCCTCGGCCAAGTCCTCCTCCCGCCCCGTCCCCGTCGCCTCCTCGCATTCCTACGACATCGCCGCCGACTTCGCCTCCTCCAGCCCCAAGGTCCGGAAGGTCCAGGACCCCGAGGACGCCCTCCCGCCCACGAGGGAACACCGGCCTCTCCTCAGGGACCTTCTAACCCAGCCCGACACGACCGCCTACGACCCCTACTCCTCCAAGAGGGTCGTCAGCCCCCCTGCCAGCACCGCGTCGAGTGAGGACGCGCTGTCGTGGTGTTCCGGGCCCGAGGACACGGCTCCGCGGTACGCCTTCGAACCCCCCACGACCTGTCCCGTGAGAGACGACCCCAGCCCGCCCGAGATGGACGACTACTTCGGCCGCCGCGTCCCCACGAAGGACGACCTCCCGCCAAGGAGCATCGCCCTGCGCACCGACCTGTACGACCCGACCGCCAAGACCGACCCCTACCACCTCTACCTGCACGGCCACAGCTACGACCTCGCCGAGAAACCGAAGCACTACGACCCCTGGACCGCTTGCTCCCCGCGCGAGAACAGTGAGGTGCAGTGCGCGGTCCCGTCCCTCAGCGACTGCCTCCAACCGGGTTTCGATCACTACCCGAGCTTCTATTCGAGTAGTTTCCCTTCGGTCTCCTCGAGCTTTCGTCTGGATGGCTCGCCGCTCTTTAACAGCTATTTTATGAGGGGGAGGCACTTGTATGCCGGCGAGAGGACGTTGCCGTAGACGAACTCAAATTAATCATTATTTTTGTATATAACGGTAGCTTTTTTGCGGTTTAAATATTTGTTTAATTATATGTAAATATATCTATATCTACAGTATATATCTATGTTATATATATATATATATATCATAGTTATATAGTTTAATATATATATATATATATATATATATATATATATATATATATATATATATATTATGTACATATTCTTCAATATCACCAAACCATGCAGGCATAGATTGGTGATGTATATATTTCATTAGTTGTTAGGTCACCTTTCAGCAAATAAATCTCATAAATATTCTATATTATTAACTATGATTAAGTTATTTTGATACTGAATTCGTGTTTCATGTTGTTTTATATCACGAATTGAATTGCGTTTCTTGTGTGACAAATATCTTGATGATTCAAGTGTGTCCTAATTATTTTTTACGTTTGATTGTATACGATAAAATGAGAATTTTTAAAGAAGGTTCCATCATATAAGTTTGTCATTTTCCTCGTCATTTCATCAATTGTCCTACACTGATATTATATGTATATATACACTATATATACATATATATGTATGTATGTATACACACAGACTCACGCACACATACTGGTGTGTATATATGTATATATATACACATAGAAGTAATACCTTTATAAAACTAAGACTCACTTTCATAATGTGATCCTTAAGCTTGTCTCCCTATTCATCTCTTTTCCTCATTTTCTCGAAGGTGGAGAGTGAGGTTCTTGGAACTGGTATCTCTGGCGGTGTAAGCATGACCGCGCATCTTTCAAGACGTTATCTCACGCCCATGTGCAGAACACTCCTATCAAATCACAGTCATTCATTCACCGCTCTAGTTCTCGTCTCAAAAAAAAAAAAAAAAAAAAAAAAAAAAAAAAAAAAAAAAAAAAACAGAAGAGACACAAAAACATACGTCTATTTATATCTCTTTTTATCGTCAGCATTTCTTTAGTCATATCGAAGCTTTGCGGGAAGAAAAAGGAATTATATTTGTTTTTAAGTATCTCGGGTTTTCATTATTGTTTTGTTGTTATCCTTTGTTTTGGGGAATTCCAGTTCTCTTGTCATCGCTCTGCCAAAGTTTTAGATACTGGGAGGATCTGCTTAGGATTCAGGTAGCTCTTAACATTAGTTTTGTATTTACAGATAGACATTTAGAAACAGAGAGAGTGAGAGTGAAAGAAAGAAAGAAATGTAAACAAGCATGCGAGTATTTGCACTCACTCATGTACACACACACACACACACACACACACACACACACACACACACACACACACACACACACACACACAACACACAAACACACACACAAAACAAACACACACAAACACACACACACACACAAACACACAAACACAAACACATACATAAACATACATATATACATTCCCACATCAGTCCCTAACCTGCGCACTCCTTTTTCCCCTGCTTCCCGCACAGCACTCGATAGATAAACACGATAATCTCCTTTGAACTATATATAATGCCATATAACCTTACGCAAGGTACCCACCTGTCAAGTCTTCCCTTTTTTCTCATGATATTAACGCTTATTCATGGTTACTCTTCACAAAATGATGATCGTATGAGTCTGAATATGTTGTATATAGGGTCTGATTTATTTGTATTTCTTTGGTACATTTTTTTTAATATGTCAGAGAAGACTTTTGTTGTTGTTATCATCGATATTATAAAGAATTTAATCTTTTTCCTTGATTTTTTTTCCTATGTTGTAATTCTGGATAATTACCACTCTAGACATGGCTAATACTTATCATGATGTACTGTAATTATAAGAGAATTCCCCATATTGCTTGAAACGTATAAAACAATCTTTCTTTATCGGACAGTTTGTTAAGATTGGGCGAGATCCGATCCAGTGAATCTTCAACACATTCGGATATGCATAGACAAAAATAAATGCGTATCTGTCTATCTGATACGTATATATTCATTTGTTTATCTGTCAGGTAGATATTTATGTCTCCATTGAAAGATGTATTTATTATTGTCTCTCTCTCTCTCTCTCTCTCTCTCTCTCTCTCTCTCTCTCTCTCTCTCTCTCTCTCTCTCTCTCTCTCTCTCTCTCTCTCTCTCTCTCTCTCTCTCTCTCTCTCTAATACTACCATATTTATTGATTTATAAAGAAAAAGATGAAAAAAATATAATCCCAAAGTATCTATTACACTACCTATCTATACACGTTATCCTCCTATTTTCCCAAACAACCCAAGCATCAACCTTCACTCTTCTCACTCGAAACCACCACTACGTCAATGAACTACCACTCCAGCACGAATGGAATGGCAGGGACTCTTTTCCATAGTAATGCCACTTTCCATCAAACATTCTTTGAATTTTAACACAGAATATTGTATTGCCAACTTGTTTGTGGTTGTTTTCTGGACTTTTCTCTGTGTCTCTATGTATCAATCTAACTATCAAGTATGTCTGTATAATGAATGTTTATTGGGTCGGGAATCGCACGATTTTAACAGACCGGTCGTGTATTTTATTCTATATGGTTTTGTATCAAGTGAATCAAATTGCTTCCAGTCAGTTGATTTATCATTTAATTAATTAATTTTCAAAGAAAATCTAACTATATATTTTTACACAAAACAAATTATCTACTTATATAGAAAAAAAAAAGCACTGATTTATTCAAAGACAAATAAATAAATAATTCGTTTACTTAGGAACTAAATCTATAATTTATTTAGAAACGAAATATATATTCATTTATTTATTT